TATATATTCTTGAAAATGGGACAATGACAAAAATATTTTCAGTTTGACGACAATAACACATCTCAAGACCAGGCAAGTTATGAAGTGAGTTAAAAAAAGTACACTGTACTTGTACAGTGTATTTGTACACTGTATGTACAAATATATGCAATACTTTATATTTTGTATAATGTTCTCTTGGATAAAATACTTCTGTTCAGACCTTATGTAAGAGAAGACAAATAGAACAAAGGAAGAACTTGATAAAAAAATTGACTAAAATGTTACTTTTAGTGAATCGAGAACCATAAAAAGTTTAAAGTAATCGAAGCACAACAGCTCCCAGGTGCTGACAAACAACAAGTGCTGTTGACGGGACGAGTAATGCACTTCAGTTCATTTCTATAGCATCAGTTTACAATCAAAGGCATCTCAGGTAGCAAAAATAAGTTATTTTAAGTCAGATAATAATCCAGTTTAATCCAGTTTTTAAAAATACAACCATGCACAATAAATAATAAAATGCCTGATAAGAGAAAGTTGTGAGTCTAAGGAAACCAGCAGACGTGTCAAAACAGCCTTTCAGAGCAAACCCCATCATGAGCAGCACACTGGGTACAGTGGAGAGGGATGACTTCCTTCTAACTGGAAGAAGCTTCCAGCAGAACCAGAACCAGGATGGGCAGCCAGCTGCCAAGGTCAGCTAGAGGCTGAGGACAGGAAAGAGACAGAGACAAACAGAGAAGGTCTGGACGAAGTTTCTCTGGGAAGAAAAACAAAAATACAGATGAATGAAAAGGATCATTTCATCTACAGACTTGGAGGAGGAGAGAGCGTAAACACAGCAGCAAAGAGGAAACGTGGTCAGTTTGTCCTCCAGCAGCCTATAGCAGCATAACTAAAGGATAACTCAACAAACCCAAATCAACCCTAACTATAGGATTTATCAAAAAGGAAAGTCTTCAGCCGAGTCTTAAAACTGGACCATGTGTCAGCCTCATGAACAGAATCTAGAAGTTGGTTCCACAAGAGAGGAGCCTGAGAACTGAAAGATCTACTTCCTATTCTACTTTCACAAACTCTAGAAACCACAAGTAAACCTGCAGTCCAAGAGTGAAGTGCTCTGTTAGGACGCTCCACCGCCTCATTTGATCTGGATGGCTTAAAAGGCATCAAAATAAAAATGAGGTCATACTTCCAACAAAACAATTCTAGGTTTAATATTCTGGTTTGTTGTCTTTTTGCTCTTTTCAAGTAAGTTATATTAATAATCGTTAATCTTAGCAAATCACCCCATTTTTTAAAATGCCATGTTACACCTCACCATCCTAAAATATATTAAAATGTACATCCTATAACCAGTTTTGTTCTGTTTTTGAAATGGTCTCCTTTGTTGCTTCAGATCCACATGAAGACGATGCCGGCCGCCATGTTCAGACTTCTAACAGGACAGGAAACGCCTCTGTACATTTAAACGAGGACTTTCACAGGATTATCATCTGACAGAGCAAACCACGAGCAGATGAACCATCAACAGGACGATCCTTCCATCTCTTTGACTTATGCGAACACTTTATTCTTCAACTTCTTTACTTTGTGATTAACACACAACAGCTATTGACCGACAAAAGATGTGTAATCTGAAGAGGCAGCACGTGTGTGAATATTTATTTATTCGTCCTGTCTGTGATTCTTTTTGTCACATTAGTGACGGAGTTATTGATCCATAGTGTCCGTTTATTTTTTACACTCCCGTAATGCAATACGATACTCCCACTATACAGCTTGTATAGTTTCATTTGTCTCTCCGTTAAATTATTTTCCGTGTAAATATATGATTTGCTAATATGAAGGCAGTTGGAGTGAAGGGGTGAGCCGCTGCGCGTTGTAAATATTTACTGACTCTCGCTGTTGAGCTCGATGCAGATTAAGATGATGTCAAAGGTGCAGTTACGTGCCCGAGATCATAGTTGTTGTCAGAGGAGAGTTTCTGTAAGCAGCGGGGCTCATGGGACAAACGCCATGTTCTTTTTCATTTACAGCATCAAAAGGCAATACACAAGTTCCACTTGTGAACAGCAAGTCTTTTCTAAATCTCACGGAAACGTTTAAACGACAGCATTTTGCTTTTGATATGAAGAGTACGAAGAATGCTGTTTCTTCCCCTGTGCGTTTATCTTTAGTGTTCTGACTGAAACTCATGCGTGGACCGTGAATGTAGCCGTGTTGTGCGAGCCGTCTCATCACCATAAGCAGTATTAGAATGTCTGTACATAAGCAGAACGCCGTCCAGTGATGCGCTCATGTTAAACCAACACGCAGATCCACGTCACTGCAGCCCCCGCCCGTCTGGACGTCGGCCCCTCAGACACAGCTGTGGTTCACACTGACACAGGAATCCTTACTGCGAGGCAACGACTCTATGAAACATTGTAGTAAATTCTAACTGTATGAACGTTTTCTGTGTGCATGCCTCGTAAGTAGTATCATGTCACTGTGGCAAGATAATAAAGCTGAGCTAAACTGGACTTTGTCTTTTTATTTCACTGAAATAACTTCCCAGTAAAGCTACATTTAAAGTTGTGGTTGAAAAAACAAAACAAATGACGATATCAAGAGAAACTTACAATAAAGAGTTAAAATGAGATGCATCACAAACAATGATGAGTCCAGCTACAGGCAGGAGGTGGAACACCTGGAGAGCTGGTGCAGGAAGAGCAACCTTCACATCAACATGAAGAAGACGAAGGAGATGATCATGAACTTCAGTTGGAACAAAACCACTTACACACCCCCTCCCCCCCAACATAAGAGGATCTGCAGTGGAAGTGGTCTCCAGCTACAAGTACTTGGGTGTACACATGAACAACAACCTCAGCTGGAGCAGCAACACCACCAGCCTGATCAAGAAAGATCATCAGAGACTCTACTTCCTCAGGCGGCTGAGACGAGCTGGTCTGGGAAGCTCAGTCCTCACCTCCTTCTCCAGGTGTGCAGTGGAGAGCATCCTGTGCTCCAACATCAACGTGTGGCATGGAGGCTGCACAGCTGCAGAAAGAAAAGCTCTGCAGAGAGTGGTGAAGGCTGCACAGAAGATGTTGGAGTCAGCCTCCCCACCATCACAGACATCTACACCTCAAGATGCAGGAAGAGGACCACCTGCATCATGAAGGACCCCACTCACCCAGCACACACACTTTTTGCCCCACTCCCCTCAGGAAGGAGGTTGAGGAGCATTAAGTGTAGAACCACTAGACTGAGGAACAGCTTCTACCCTGAGGCTGTTAGACTCATGAACCAGGATAACCACTGTAATGACACTTTATCTGTGCTGCTGATCTCATGCTGCTGATCTCATGCTGCTGCATTCATTCATAGCCATCTACTCACTACAGACTCATGTTCAGGCTGCTGTTTAATATACCGTACTTACATTATTAGTGTTTAGTCTATATCTTAGATCCTTATATAAAGTTTCTTTTTATATTTTTGCTATTGTTGGATGTAACTGGGACTCAGTTCATAATTTTGTTCCAACTCATGTTCCACATGTGATTAAATGACAATAAACTTGACTAGAACTTCAACTTAAAACATTAACTAATGGAACGTATCACAAAAATAAGGTCAATAAGTTCAAGACTGTGTAAACTTAAGACAGTAACGCAGAAAATAACAGAAAATTACAAATAGCTTAAGTGTTTTTATAATAATAATTAAATAAATAAAGTTCTATGTGTTCTCATCACCGTATGTTCCCATACAAAGACGAAATTGGTTCTCTTCATTTAACCCATCGCACCTGGGATACACGCAGGTGGAGCAGTGGGCAGCTGTGGAAGCGCCTGCGGGGGTTCAGCTACGTTACATAAACGCTGAAAACTGAAGTTCAGTTTATTTGCAAAGCGACAATTGACAAGAAAAGGTTGTTTTCAGGGAACTGTCCAAATCAAAACAGTCCGTTCTAGATTCAAATCCAGTTACAAATGAACTAACAGGAAGGTTTTGACACATACGGCTCAGGTAACCTAACACAACCCTAACTATAAGATTTATCAAAAAGGAAGTCATTAGCCTAAATCTTAAAAGTAGTTTCAGGGTTAAAGACAGAAACTGGAAGTTGGTGCGTGATAACTGAAAGCTCTGCCTCTTATAGCACTTCTAAAAACTGTAGGAACCACAAGTAAACCTGCCGTCTGAGTGCAAAGTGCTCTGTTGGAAAAATATGGAATGATAAGATCTTTAACAAAAAATTGAGCTGTGTATGTAAGAACTAAAACTTTAAATTTCACTGTCTTTGTAAACCACAAACAATAAGAAGTCACATCTCCTAAATAAACCACAATCAAAAATAATCTAATCTGTATTATTGTAATTATTGAGCATGCATCTAATCTGTAATAAACTGTTTGATCTAATAAATTATGCTGAGATAATATCAGTACTTTAGGTTGTTAAAAGCATCAAGTATAGTCATGAAAAGAAAAAAATGTTATTTTTGAAAATGCATTGACTACTATTTTCATTGGATCTAAAATTATGATTATTACAATTACTGACATTACAGTTATTACTATTATTGTATTTTTCATAGTCTACATCTGATTATGTTTTATTCACAAGTAAATAATTAGAAAATCAGAAGACATTTATTTATTTATTGTTCTTGTGAACTGAAACTCACCATGAGAAGAGAAAATAAGATTTTGTATCTCTGGTCTTCAGCAGCCGTCACTGCACACATCGTCACCACAGAGAGAGCAGCACAAAGAAAACGACACGTAAAACATCGAGCTTTCTTACAACAACTTCTGATTAGTGAAAATAGAAAACCAGTCAACAGATCTGTTCCAGCTTCCTGCATATTTCAATCTAGCACAGCCAATGGTACCACTGGTACCACTGGTGACCATTGATTCCACTTTGAACCTCTGGCGCCCCCTAAAGGTGAAACGTAGGTATTACACCAAAGTCCATGCTCATTAATCCAGATATAAAATCTGTTTGTAATACAGAAAACAGGGGAATCATTTACAAGAGACCTGAGTAATATTAATAATAACAATAATAATAGTAATAAGTTGAAATAATAAAGAAAGCTGCATTTGTGTATTTGACTTCTGTGTTTTTATTTTAAGATTTTTTATTTGAATATGTATTTAAAATTACTCAAAGTGCAAGAAAACATGCTAATTACATAGAGCCATCAGAGCCATGATGGAAGGTCATTGAACAGTTATTTGTACCGTTTGAAGAGAAACACGTCAGTGCTGCGATCGGTGCGATCCGTTCAACTCCTCCTGGTATCTGTCTGAGGTCAGAGGTCAGTTTGTGCTGAGTCAACTTCAGCTGCTCCGGTTTGGTTTACTTCGGGGGGGTACATTCACGGGTTCTGGTCATTTTTATCACACTTTAGCATGACCTTTATCCCAAGACCTTGACGTGTGGTCTCAAAGGCCTGGACTGCCTGTTCCAGAGGAAAGCGGTGGGTCACAAGGGGCTTCACGTTCACTTTACCCGACGCCAACATGGCGATGGCCTTGGGCCAGCTGCAACACAAGCACAACAAGCTTTTATTCCCTTTTGGACTACACAACTTACCAAGAAGTTAAACGTAAAGTATACTAAGTCCATTTATTTCTGCCTGTGTGATATTGTTGAACAAAGAAAGTTCTAGTTACGTGTTGCAGTAGCGGAAGACTCCTCTGATGTCCACCTCTCTGACAGCTGCACTGACGAGAGGAACTGTGGTCATGTCGGCACCCAGGCCCACCAGCACCACCACTCCCCCTGAACATGTTGCCTAACAGGAAAAGTTCAGTATTAGTCTGTTGAAACACTTTGAAGTTTATGACTCACACTGAAACAGATAAAGTGATGAAGAACGGTTGGATATGAAACAAAAGCAGAAGCGGTTGAACTTATCAGAATGAGTCGCGCACATAGATGGCAGTTTGGATGCAGCTCTCAACACCAGTGCATTCAATGGTGACTTGAGGCTGAGCTCCCAACACATCCTCCACTTTCTTGGCCAACTGCTGGGCTCCGTCTTCTCTCTTCACCGTCAGCTGGAAGTCTGCACCCAGTTCTTTGGCCATCATCAGACGCTCTGCAGACAGATCTGAATACAGCAGGTCACACGTTCTGACGCCTCTATCAGAATCTACTGCATGTACCGTGTCATTTCAAAGTGGTTGTTGAGTTACCGGTGATGACGACCTGCGAGGCCCCCATTGCTTTGGCAACAAGCAAGCTGACTAATCCAATAGGTCCTAAAGAGAGAGAAGAAGAAAACACATTGATATTACAATAAAATGTTTCATTATTACTATAAACACGTCTGCAGAGGTGCCTGAAAGTTTGTGAAGCTTTCAATCTGACCTAAAACATCATCAGATTTTCACACAAGTCCTAAAATTAGATAAAGAGAACCCAGTTAAAGTAATGAGACAAAAATATTATACTTGGTCATTAAGGACCACACCCACCCAGCACAAGGACTTTTCCGTGCACTCCCTCAGGCAGACGATACAGGAGACATGCACACATAAAGACTCAAACAGTTATTATCCACATCTGTCAGATTAATGAACTCGTAATAATAAAACTGAACTATTGACAATAAGGCACCAAGCCACAGGTGTGACACCTGATATGTTAATTGCTGCTGCTCCATGTGGCTGCATCATATCTGCACCGTACCATCATAATTCATCTCAATGTTCCTCACTACCTGTGCAATAACCTGTCACACAACCCGCGTACTTTATGTTAGTTATGTGCAGAATATATCATGTGCATTTAATATTACTATCTGTGAAATATTTATACTAATTAATCCTACTTGCACCGTTATATTCCACCATGTTGTTTACTATCTCTCTTTACTTTATGTTGTACTCTTATTTCACGCTTTAGTATTTCTTGTTTTGTTGTTTTGAGAGTTAAATCGGTTCTTCTCATCCTGAACATTTCATTGTGTTGTTGACCTTGTGTTAACCTGCACATGACAAATAAACAACAGAACTTTATGTATTGAGGAAAATGATCCAATATGACATATTTGTGAGTGATAAAAGTATGTAAGCCTTTGCTTTCAGTACCTGGTGTGACCCCCCTGCATCAATAACTGCAACTAAACATTTCCAGTAACTGTTGATGAGTCCTGCACAGCGGCTGGGAGGACGTTTATCCATCCCTCCGTACAGAACAGCTTCAGCTCTGGATGCTGGAGGGTTATGATGTTTTAGGTCATATTTATGCAGAAACGTAGAACATTCCAAACGGTTCACAGACGTTCCAGCACCACTCACTCAAGCTCATGAGCTTGTTTTTTAACACAACTTGATCTGTTCAAATTTAAAACAAAAACAACTGGACTTGTATTCTGAAGCTGGTTTTGCTTCCCATCCAGGAGGCTTCTTCAATTCAAAAATATCTGGAGCGTGGAGTTCCAAGCTTTACAGAAGTGCATGAGAGGACTGGTTGTAGATGACCTGCAGACCAGACTGGAACTACTCGCCCCGCACAGTGGAGGCTCGTTGGGCTCTTTGCCTCATGTGGAGATGGTTTGGTCACATGCATGAAGGTGTGACTGGGAGTTGATTGGGAATCAGGTCTAGTGCTGCATTGTAGTTTTTGAAAGTTTCCACATTGAACTTTACAGGAAAGCTACTCACACGGAGCCGTACTTTCTGTTTGAACTCACACGTGCTGTCATTAGAACGTTACACCAACACCGCCTGTTTCAGATTGATCATTTGGACGACGGAGAATCTTCACCAGCATATTACCTACTGCACAGAATATGTTACACTTTACATTTTGTTCTGCTCTCTGAAGTTTTGCTGAGTCAGTATAACTTTCCACGCCCGTGTCCTAACTCCCTGTGAAGTGACAGACTCTTGCATGTTCGTGCTGCAACAGTAAGTTCACAACCTGCTGTGTTGCTGATGTTTTACTTCACAGCAGGCTCAGGTTTTACCTGCACCGCAGATGAGCACGGTGGTGCCGAGGGTGACACCTGCACGGCAACATGCATGAATCCCCACAGACAGGGGTTCAATGAGAGCCCCCTCCTCAAACGTGACGTTATCAGGCAACCTGGACCAAGACGCAACAAGAGGTGGATGAGAACACAAGAACGTCTCATCAGTCAACTCTGACACAAAACTCTGCAATCCTTAAAAAAAATCTGTCACTTGTAACAGAAGTTGGCGTTGTGCGTGTAATATCTGCACAAGTTTCCATCATCTGGCGGCGTGGCACAGAAGAAGATGGTGGGAGACAAATTATAGCGCCCCTTTTTGAAAAACTCATCCATCTCACGGGGCACACCAGGCTCAATGGCCACTCGGTCACCTGGGAAGAAAAAGTGCAAAACATGCTAAATTATTTCAAAATTATGTTTAAAAATGCTAAATGGATTTAAACTAGGAGGCCGTGCCCTTGTTGCTTCATCGGTCTGGGAGTCGAGTACTCACCTGTGTTCAGGTGTGTGACAGCCGATCCGACCTTCACCACACGTCCTGCAGCCTCGTGGCCCAGCACCATTGGTGTTCTGAGAACAAAGTCTCCAATTCGACCGTTCTGCCAGTAGTGCACGTCTGATCCACAGATTCCTACAGAATGCATCTGGAGCAAAACCTCTGAGAACAACATGATATGGGCCGAATGACGTCACTGTCGCATAAAGACGAGCTCACCCCTCAGGGAATCTACAGTATGTTTTTTATTAGTTTGACTCTTCAAATGTTTGTGCATCTTATTCTTTGTAGATTTTTTTAATTGGTCAACACTGCAGTTGATCATAATTCTGATTAAACTTTCACACTGAACTTTATTCAATTTAAAAATCTATGCCTACAAGACAACAGAGTAACTGAATAGCCATAGCTTGACTTTATGCTTTTGGAAACATACATAAAACACAAAACATGTTATAAATGTTCACGTGCAAATCAAACAGCAAATCAGTTACATGTCAGAACAGCTGGTTTCCTTTACCATTGGGTCCTGGTTCTGGGACAGGACGATGCTCCTGTGAAGACACGCTTGGTTTAATCTGAACAGTTTCGCTGCTGAACGTTTGGGGGAAAGAGTTCGGTTTCTTACGAGCCTGAGGTCTCCCTGCGCGTGAAGCACCACGGACAGATTCTCCTGAGCCATGACACAACTGGAACCAACGAAACGGTGAAGAAAGAAGCAGACTTTGGATCTATGGATCCACGGTGACGTCATCACATGTCGCGGAGGGGGTCGGCACCAAAACAAAGCATTTGATTGGACAAAAAGCCGTGGAACAGTCCATTTGACAGGGGTGGTCGCTACAGAGGAGGTGGAGCTAAACTGAAAAAAATAATCTCAAGACAGAAATGCAGCCAGATTACGAATGTAAAATAAAGAAAAACATGTAACTGCTTTTACGATTATAGTGTCAGTGATTTATTTAAATTAATTGTTAATTTCATCTTTATTGACATTTTTTGGGTATGCCCCGGAATGTCAATGGTTTCTTAGCAACCGCCCGGGCCCACAAAGATGACGTAATATATCAGAACGTTGTTTTTCTGCTGGAACACTGCAATAACAGTTTGTGAATAAAAACATACAAGGCAGACATATTTACAATAACAAAGCTATATATTTTATGAAAATATACATCTATCTGTTGGGACGGCTGTGGCTGAGTTACAGCAGTCGTCCTCCAATGCAAGAGTTGAGGGTTCGAGTCCCCCTTAACAAAAAGTAGTACATTTGAAGTTTATTTTTGCAAGTATACTTTAAGTTAAGTATATGAAGTATACTACACACCATACTTTTAGTGTACTAGTAGTATACTGATATAATACTTGTTTGGACTAAATTGGGACATTTTTATACTATTTTTAAGTATATCAAATAAATCTAAAAAAGTTAAATTTGGTCCTCTGGACATTCAAAAAAAACAAAACAAAGCAAATCAACAAAAAAAATGTAGAAACGTTTCGTCTCTCATCCTGAGGACTTCCTCAGTCTGAGGTGCTGTATTCAGCTCAGTCTCTTAAATAGCACCTTCTCAGAGTGGATCAACCAGTTTTGCTGCTGACAACCAGAACCAGCTGATCACATGCTCAAGAAGGACCATCAGCCTAACAATGGATCATTAGCACCTGATGGCTGTTTACTGTTCACAGAGGGCTGAGTGATACTAGCAATCACAGCATTGTAAGAGGGGGACAGATGAACCTGGAGGCCTCCACCCCTGTTTAATGATGGACGGTTTCTTTTCACAAAGATGGCCTCCTTTACTCCTCTCTCAAACCATCGTTCCTCTCTGTCCAGGATGTGAACATCTTCATCCCTGAAAGAGTGACCTCTGGCCTGGAGATGAGTGTAGACCTCAGAGTCCTGGCCTGATGATGTTGATCTTCTGTGCTGGGCCATCCTTTTGGCCAGTGGCTGTTTAGTTTCCCTGATGTAAGACTGATCACCCTCCTGACACTGAACAGCATACACAACATTACTCTGTTTGTGCCGGGGGACTGGATCTTTGGGATGAACCAGTCTTTGCCGTAATGTATTTTGGGGTTTAAAAGCCACTGGGACGTTATGTTTAGAAAATAAACGTCTCAGTTTCTCTGATACTCCCTCAACACACGGAATGACCACTGGTCTGGGTCTGGGTTCCTCCTTTTCACCTGTTGGCTGACTGGAGTCCTGTTTGGGTTTCTTCTCTGCTTTCAGGAAGGCCCAGTTAGGATATCCACATTGCTCTAGAGCCTGTCTTGTGTGGGATTTCTCCTTCTGCCTGGCTCCTGAGCTAGTGGGGATGCTGTCTGCTCTGTGGTACAGAGTCCTGATGACTCCTAACTTGTGCTCCAAAGGGTGATGGGAGTCAAACTGCAAATACTGGTCTGTGTGGGTGGGTTTGCGGTACACCTCAATTTGCAAATGTCCTCTATCAGAGACTGAGACCTCACAGTCCAAGAAAGCCAACCTGCCATTTTTTACATCTTCTCGTGTGAACTTGATGTATTTATCCACAGAGTTGATGTGGTCAGTAAAATGTTGGACTTCCTGAGATTTGATTTTAACCCAGGTGTCATCAACATACCTGAACCAATGACTTGGTGGTGTCACCACCAAGTGGTGGTTTTTTTGAATGTCCAGAGGACCAGATTTAACTTTTTTAGATTTTTCTACCTGGATTATTGAGCATGCATCAGGATATATCAAATAAAGTTTATAAAAAGTCAACTTCAAGTACACTTCTTCATTTTTAGTGTAAAATAAGTATACCTGTATTGTACTTGTAGTACACTTAAACTACTTTTTGTTAAGGGCTGCCAGCAGTCACATGCTGAAGTGTCCCTGGAAGTGTCCCTGAACACCTCATTGCCTCTGATGTGCCCCATCAGTGTATGAATGTGATCTAAAGCTCTGATTATTCTCTGTACAGATCTAGTATAGAGCTGCATGAATGGGTAAATGAGGCACAGATTGTTGTAAAGAGCTTTGAGTATCTTGATAAGACAGAAAGGAGCTATATAATACTCACAAATTATTTATAAATCAGTACATACCATACCATACCAATTTATTTATAGAGCACTTAAAGCAGCAACAAGGCCAATCAAAGTGTTGTACAACAGAAACAAACAAGTACAGCGGACAGGAAAACATAAAATAAAAATATAGATACAAATAGCAGCAGATAATAACTAAATGTCCAACACTGTGGAATACAGACAGGATCACAACAGATCACACCGTGTCAATGGCACGGAAATAAAGTGGGTTTTCAGTTGAGACTTAAAGACTGAGAGTGTGGGAGCCTGCCTGACATGCAGTGGCAACTCATTCCACCGTCTTGGACCTGCAACAGAGAAAGCCCTGTCACCTCTGAGCTTGCAACGGGTTTCTGGAACTGAAAGGAGCATCTGGTCTGCTGACCTCAGAGAGCAAGGTGGGACATATGGCTGCAGAAGATCAGTGAGATAAGATGGGGCAGAACTGTTCAGTGATTTAAAAACATACATGAGGATTTTGAACTGGATCCAAAGGTGAATGGGTAGCCAGTGCAGGGAGGCCAGAACTTGAGTAATGTGCTCTCTGTGGCCCGTACCAGTTAAAAATCAGGCTATAGCATTTGGACCAGTTGTAGACGTGCAATGGAGGATTGATTGATTTCAAACAGAAGCGCATTGCAGTAATCGAGCCTAGATGTTATGAACGCATGGATCACTGTCTCAAGATTCTTTTTGAACAGTATGGGCTTCAGCTTAGACAGCCGTCTCAGCTGAAAAAACAGGATTTAACAATCTGTTAAGTTTCAAGGAAGGGTCCATTATCACTCCCAGATTGGTGACTCTTTGTTTCTCTAATGGAGCTAGAGAGGAAAGGTTGATGCAGTGGTTCATGGACATGCTATTGGGATGGAACAAGATGACTTCAGACTTCTTCTCGTTGAAACTTAAGAAGTTTAAAGCCATTCAGTCCCGGATGTCAGCCAGGCAGTCAAGAAGAGGTTGAATAGAGAGTGTGCCTCAGGGGGAAGTAAATTTGACAGTCATCGGCGTAGAAACGAAAGGGTATGTTGTGATTGTGGAAAATAGCACCTCGTGGCAACAGGTATAAAGAAAAGAGAAGGGGACCAAGGATGGACCCTTACAGTACCCCCCACTGAAGCGCTGCCGATGCTGAACTGAAATCTTTGATACTGACACAAAAGGTTCTGTCAGAGAGGTAGGACCTAAACCAACTGAGGGCTGACCCTGTGATGCCCACCCACTGCTCCAGTGCTGTATTGTAGTACTGCATTACAACATATACATGTTCAGAATACTGCATTACAACATATACATGTTCAGAATACTGCATTACAACATATACATGTTCAGATCAATACAGCAACTAATGGCATTCTGTGGCTTGCATAGCAAATTCCATTCAATTCAGTTTATTTCTATAACACCAATATTAAAAAATTCACATTTTTACACACATTTAATTCCAATTAAAAAAAGATAAAGTAGATGCATTTTTGACAAGATTTATTTATTGAAAAAAGGAAATATGGTAAACATCCACTTGTAACAATGACCTTATACAACAGACTGAATGACAAAGATGCTCAAAGAAATACAGAATGGGTTCAAGCAAGTTGCAGAGATTATTGTCTGGCAGATATTTCTTAGAGCATTTTGAACATATGAGTGTATCAAACATCAGATTTACCAAGGATGCACATCACACAGATCACCTGAATATTTCTGGAGAGCATCCATGCTGACATATCCTGTAGGATCAAAGCAGAAAAAAGTTTGGGTGATATTAGAACATGGACCGACACAGATAATATAAAAAATAGATTTTAAAGAAGTTTTGTGAAAAATAATAATGCAGTCATAACAAAAGAAAGTCTACTCTTTCAGTTCCAGGAACTTGTTAAACTCCATCTTAAAGTGTACAAAAATCCTTATTGTTCATTAAATAAAAATAAATTAAAAAAGGAAAAAAACATTCAGTAGTTTTTATAAACACATTTAGCATTTTCTGTGTGACTTTATAAGTTTTATTGTTGTTTAAACTCTATTTTTTTATCAGTGTTAACACGATGTCTTCGATGCAAGTGAGTAGTTCCCTGTTCTTATAAAATGAAGCAGTTATGGAGTTGAATATGTTAAACACGTCACCTGTGGCCGTTTTACAACCTGAGCTCCTCAAACGCTCCCACAGAGCTTCACTTGTTGAAGAATCGGACTCGGATGACTCCGAACTGTCAACAGAGCACGAAGCTTTTCATTAATGCACAGCTGGAAACTGAGGTTGCAATCCAAAATATTCACAGCAGGAGGTCGTCACACTTCATTATCTTCACTTCTTCGTGGTGGTCGTCTTCTGTCAGGCCAGCTGAACTCTCCTCCTTGAAACCAAAATTAAACCAAGTTAAGATAATTACGGTTTGATGTGCTTTGTTTAAATCGTGGTGTTTTTACCTGCGCAGCTGCCCGTTCAGCTTCACACTCCCAGATCAACCTCCCAACTACTTTTCTCACCTCTTGAAAGATAAAACACAATAATAATTCCATCAGTTCAACTACTTCTGACAACTGGTTACATCTCTGAGTCGAACCATCATTTTGCAAATGAAATCTATGTATATTTTATCCATGTTAAATAAATCGCCACAGTAATCCTCACCGTCCTGTACAGGGGCTGGAGGCAGCACGTAATGACCGATGCCCACTGACTTCACGCTTTGTCTCTTTTCACAGGTGGACAGAAAAAGACAGTGAAAAACTGTCACCTTGTTCCAGATGTAGTCTTTGCTGTCAAATATCCTTAAAACAGAAACGGTGAACTTTAATTGGATTGTAAATTTGCTCACAAATGGTCTTTTGTAGCTCTTTTCCTTTGCTCACCTCAGCGTGTCGGGACAAGTTGCATCTGCGCTGAACAGGTAATCAGCTGTCCTCCAACCTGTGACCGTTCCACCCTCCAGTACTGCAAGAACAATGGTATTAAACAGATCATTTACATTTTAGACCACCAGCATGTGCAGAGTAAGAGTAATGCAGATCTGACTGATCTCTGAATGTCAAAGCAGGAGAAGTGATACAAGACACGCTGCAGTTTTTGTTTTCCACATAGTCAGATGGTGCCGTGATGCTTTCCACACACACGTCTCCTGCTTTAAATAGAAACAATTCAAAATAAACAATATTTAACTGAATAATGGTTATTCTTGTACTTATACACACACTTTAAAGTATTATATGCATTGACTCTGCTCATGTTTTGCCTATTTGAACATGCCTTTTTATTATTAGTATTTAAATCCCTTTGAAATTTGATTTATTTATTGTGATTTATTTTAGGTTTGGCCACTTACTATTAGTTAATATAAAGCTTTTGTTTTGTGGTTAAACTGTGTTGCTTCCTTTAGTACTTGAGGTTTTCTCACTGCAAAAGTAAATATATATAAACTTAATTATAATTATATATTTAGACTGTTTATTTTTATGACATTCCATTTTCCCTTTGAACATCTATTTCCTAAAATTATCCAAAGACGTTTTAAATATGTTCCATTGATAATTACACTGTTATAAAACATAAGAACATTAATTTGAAGAGTCTGAGTTAAAACAGGTTGAGTTTATCCAAATAACTCCAGGTTTGTTGTTAAGAATACTGTAGTACAACAGCTTACAGACAAACCCAGAGTTATTTAGGCCCCATTAATACCAAACCTAACCATTCTTCCTCCACTCTTTAAACAAATTAAAACTTTATAACTTTACTGAAGCAGCTAGCAGGTCAGGCTAACAAGATGTTAGCTATAGCTTACCCCAAAAGTTACGGTAATCCTTTGGCACACTGCTGGAAAACCAAGCTGCTTTACACCGAAACATGGCTCTTACCTAAAAACGAAAACGCTCATAAAAAGTGTCAGCAGTAATGTGACATATGCCAGCCTTGAAATCTATTTTTATTTTAACGTTACAGCTGTGAACAAGTGAACGCAGCATTTACTGAGGGTAGCGCGTTGCATTCACGTACTGTTCTAAACTGTCGGAACTTTCGCCTCTATAGTTGGACGCGGCACCGACACATTCTGCTGCTGTTTGCTGAATGTTTCTTTAGAAGCTTAACATACTTGTTGTTGTAGCTGAGTGGATATGACTTGGTGTTTTATTGTAAAACAATTTGTTTTAATTTTATCAACCTTAAATGTAAAATGGCAGTCGTGAAAATTCAAATGCATTCTCCTACTCCGCTCCTGTTTCCTGGAACATCTTACAAAAAGATTTGAAGCTCTTGACCTTTGACCTCTCTAAGTGTCTTTAAGAATCTGTTGGACTCCTGGCAGGGTCCAATGCAGACATGTTCCTGTTTTTAGTTTTATACATTTGTCTTGGAATCTAGCTGGGTTTTTTTTTTTTGTTTGTTTTGTTACCTTGTTACTTCCTTTTAGCCATCCTTCTTGTTAAAAAAAAACAAAACTGTAGTATGACTTTTTATAACTGTTTATTGTTGTTGCTGTTGTCCATTGTTGTCATCATTCTTTGTTGAAATCAGGTCTCTCTTGTAAATGAGTCCTCGAGGCTCAATGGGATTTACCTGCAGAAATAAAGGTTGATCTGATCTTTGTTTAGTCTCATTGAGCCTCATTTACAAGAGAGACCTGATTTTTAACAGAGTGATGACAACAGTGGACAACCATAAAAGAAAGCATGTAAATGGAAAAGAATAAATGAAACAAAATGAAAGTATTAAAAAATAAATAAGTTAAAAAAAACAGCTAGATTGTAAAGCGTATTACTAAAAACAGGAACTGCCAGTGGATAATTTAGCCTCTTTATGGGGGGTGCTGAAGTATTTTTTAACTCAGCACCCCTGAAAAATAAAGAAATCATCATTCAAACTTTATTTTATTATTATTATTTTCTTTTATCATTAGGATTTTATCATGGCCCTGTAATGGACAGGAGACCCGTCCAGGTTGTACCCCGCCCCTCCCACAGTGACTGCTGGACATGGGCACCCCCGTGACCCAAAATGGAAGAAGCAGGTAAAGATAATGGATGGATGGATGGATGGTAAAGATAATGGATGGATGGATGGATG